TAACCCTATTAAAACCATATTTGATTGCATAATGATTGAAAGATGTCTTTTACTTACAAGTTGATTCTTTAATATAACAAACACACCGTCCCCCTCTCAATATTTTTTTAATTACAATAGGTCTGGCATAAGATTGTGTGTACCACGTTCTCGTACATCTAGGTACAGGCACTTTTATTCCGAATTCTATTTTTAATAAGCAGGTAATTTGCCAATAATTGTGTTTATTTTTAACTTCTTTTTTGTGTGAAGTTTTTATTGGGACATATTTTTTGTGTATTTGTCTGTGGTGTGCTCTGTATTTTTGTGTTTTTACTGTTTTCTAGGCCAAAAAAGGAAAGCAATTTTCGGAGTGTTACAAATTGGACGAATAAATAAATATATCTTACATATATCTTATACTACTAGGCCTTGGTCTAGCCTAGTAGTAGTACCCAAGGCTAGCCTATGGCTAGCCTAGGCCTAGGTAGGCTAGGCCCGAGTCTAGGCTAGCTAGGCCTAGTAGGCCTAGCTAGTTAGGGCCTAGGCCTAGCTAGTTAGGAGCCTAGGCCTCGAGGCCAAGGCCTAGCCTAAGCCTTGCGTAAAAAAAGATAAGCCATTGTTAAGTGTTATGTTTCCATTTCCAATTAAAGCATTTGTTAAGTCTTACCTAGTTTAAATGTAGGCCAACACTCAGATTTTTTTTTAGTGTTGACGTTAATTTCGCGGGAATTTACGTATGTTGACGCAAATTTACCTACATTGACGCAGATTGTTATGGTTTGACGTAAAATGACGCGATACTACCTTCAAAAAAAGTTTCCCTATGCTGAAAATGGAAGAGCCAAGGCTACGTCACTGTTTTGCAAAGCCTGGCTGCTTTGCAAAGCGTGGCTGACTTACGTCTCGCTGCCGGTCTGCAGCAGGATCTCTATCTCGCATGGCGCCCATGGCGATTTCACTTTTTCGATCGCAGTTATCTATCTTGCGCCGTGTCAACAAAAATAGAGAGGAACCCCGAGGTCACCATTCAGATCAGTCATTTCAAACTTCGTGATGGTGTGCTGGAAAATGTAAGGGGGTCATCCCTTCCTCTAAAAGTCAATCCTTCTATAGAAATGGAGGAGCTCTTAAGAAAGGGCGCCGAGAAAATGATCAAGTTCAACAAAGACTAAATCTGCTTTCCACCAGAGGCTTTTATGTTATTGTACCCAGACAAAAGTGAGGTTCATTTTTTACCAGGCAGTGAGGATGAAATATTTTCATTACAGAGATACAAGGAGGAGCTGGGGAAAACATACCAAAGAATTTCATTGTATGTGTGCCTCAAAACCGATTACAATAAGTCAGTTTTTCAAGATCTTTTGTCAGACAATGAAAGTGATTTTGAGTGTAAAGAAGAGGTAAAACAAACCTTTTGTTTAATTTAAACTTTTTCCAAATTCACAATGCAATCTACTTTCCTAAGATTCTGAAAAAGAACTTGGACTCAGCTAACAGATTGTGAGTCAGAAATTCAAAATATAATATGCTATTTACTTAGGCAAGAAACAAATTGAAGTAGACCCCTCACATATGAGGCAGGTCATGGCAAAATGGCTATGGTAGCAAAAATTGAAATTCAAGTTAATGTTATTATCAGATACCTGAGTGTGTGATCATTAAAATGAGGGGTCATTCATTGAAATTGGACATTTCAAACCTAACTTATTGGAAAATAAAAGTACCGCACTCTTAGAGTAAATATAAACATGATTTTGAGTAATTCCCTTCCAAAGTTATTTGAGCATGCATTGTTTAATAGAATTGACTATTAAAATAACGTTAAATAAACAATTTGTTGACCGTTTCCAATACTTTGGGACGTGTTTATTAAGATATTAAACTGTTGATTTATACTATAGTAAATGATTTTTAGGAATTTTTTTGATCTCAAATATTTTAAAACTCATTTACTCAATACTGGCCTGTGCGACAATTTAACAATTTTGCCATGACTGGCCTCGTATAAAATAACAGACCTTTCCTGTCTTTAACCCAAGGAAAAAATCATGATGTACCCTTGGGGTAGTGCATTGGGAAAGAAGCTTATAGTATAGATGTATTTAAATGTGTATGAAGGTCACTTCTCCAAAAAATTGTTTTACAGTTTATTTGTCATTGTTGTTGTCTAGCTTGATACAAATCTATCTGCTACAAACCAGCCTACTAGAAACCACCTTGCCAGAAACTGTTCTGCTATCAACCAGTCTGCTACAAGCAATTCTGTCGAAAACCTGTCTGCTTCAAGTCAGCCTGCTACGAGCCATCTTTCTAGAAATCAGCCTGCTACAAGTCAGCCTGCTACAAGCCATCTCTCAAGAAACCAACCTGTTACAAGTCAGCCTGCTACAAGCCATCCTTCAAGAAACCAGCCTGCTACATGTCAGTCTGCTACAGCTCAGTATGATACTATTACTAGCCAATCTGCAACAGATCAGCCTGCCATAAGCCAACCTGTCCTAAGCCAATCTGAAGGTATTAGTTTAAAAAATTTATTCATGCCCATTCATTTGCCAAATATTTTGAATCATATTATATTGGTCACAAGTTTTATTAGTATTTTATATCTAAGTAATACATGCAAATTAAGCTTTATACATAAATCCACCTTCAGTGCATTCTTTAGAGAGTATAAATAAGTATGGCTTCATCAAAATAAGATTCTGTAGTCTCACTCAACTTAAAGCTACATAAAGGACATTCACCATCACTCGCTAGCTTACCTCCAGTGTTAGTTTGGTAATGGCTCTCCCTAAACACTTGCTCATTTTAAGTGTAAAAGTATGATTCAGAATATTCTTAAAGCAGTTTTCTATAAATTTGAGCCCTTTTGAAAACCCTCAATTGATTTTTTAGTAAAAATGGAATTGCACTCTTTAGTTATACAGTAATTTTATAAAACATAGGCCTACTTGTTTTAATATTTTTTCTTAACTATTATTTTTTGTCATTCCTCAGATGATGCCATTGTGCCTAGCCCCGTGCAGCTCTCTGTAAAAGAAATGGCACTCCACAGAAGCAATGTTATGAAAGACATGATTGATGAATTTAAAGAAGATGGTATTTTGAACTGTACCGTGAATATAGCCCGTTCGCACATAATGTGTACAATTGTACACACATAGTTCTATGGCAAACTGTATTCAAGTGAAAGGCAATTGAGGCATTCAGATACTATGTGTACAATCGTATCCATACACATAATACTAAAAAATAAATTAAAATGTAGAGCGCCCTCGTGTGTTGTCAGCAGAATTACACAATCCAAGATGTCAGCCTCCATGGAAAAAGCATGCCCCGGAGCAGGTAATATTCCTTTCAAATTTGATATGAAATACCTCAATGCACTAATTAATTTCTACTCATAGTTGTTGTATAGGACCCATAGAATATGTAGGTTACTATATTTGATAGATTGCTGGGTCATTCCGTGCCAACTCAACAAATGGGATGGCTGGGTACCGTCTCAGATTTTCTCTATAGAATCCAGGCTAAAACAAGAAAGTGGCCAGTTAAAGTAATATTTCACTTAATTGATCTTGCTTTGGCTAACTCCTGGCTTGAGTACAGGGATATTGAGCGTGCAAATGGCACTCCGAAAAAACGTATCCTTGATCTGTTAGGATATCGAAATGAAGTAGCTACTGTCCTTCTAACATCAAATGCACCTCCCAGACCGATTGGTAGACCCAGAGTACTTCCACCCCCAGAAAACCAAGCAGGTCCTCCTCCAAAGCGATCTAATGTAGTTCAGCGGCCTGTAGCTGATACGAGGTATGATGGTTACAAGCATTTTCCGACTTGTATCAAAGGTCTTGGAATGCGATGCAAGTACGAAGGTTGCAAAGGTCGTAGCAGAGTCAAATGTGTAAAGTGCAAAGTCTTTCTGTGCCTCACTAAAAATATAAACTGTTTCTTAGACTTTCATACTAAATAAATATCAGCTATGAGGATGCAACCCCCATCCCATACCATTAACCATTGTAAAAATATAAATACGAAGGTTGCAGAGGCCGTAGCAGAGTCAAATGTGTAAATTGCAGGGTCTTTCGGGTCTTTCAGCGCCTCATCAAGGACTTCAACTGTGTCTTAAGACTTTCATACTAAATAAATATCAGCTATTGGAATGCAAACCCCATCACATACCATTAACCATTGTCAAATATCCAAAAAGAGCATAATTAAAGTTGTGTTGAATTTTCAATGATTGTTATTGTCATTTGTTAGTCACAATGTGTACAATCGTACCTTTACAAAACTGTAATAACGACATCACTTAGTCACAATATGTACAAATGTACACATGATCTAATTTGCATAATTTTGAATATTTAATTTTTTTTTTTTTTTTTGTAATAACTACCCAAGAAGGTGTCAATAAGCATAAAAAATATTTTTTTGGTCATAGCATTTTTTCTCGTGACCGAAGGGGATAATGTTTCTTAATGATCGTGGAGAAGCTGAGGAGGGAAGAGGATCTGGCGTAACCAGGGAAGCACTGAGCATTTTCTGGCGCGAATTTTTCACTTCACTTGCTGTTGGTGCTGCGGAAAAGGTTCCCTCCATTAGACATGATTATCAGAAAAAAGAGTGGCAGAGTGTTGCAAATGTTCTAGTGTTTGGTTTTTTAGCAGAAAAGTTCTTTCCTTTGCAACTTTCAAAGGCCTTTATTGCTTCCTGTCTATTTGGAGAGTTTTGTATATAATGTTTGCTGTTGGATGTTTAAAAATATTTTTGAAGAAAGACTTGATTTAGAACAGATGTGTATAAGAGAAGAATGTGACCCAAGTACTGATGATGATATTTTTGAAGTGCTTTCAAGTTACAAATGTTACAGAGTAGTTACCAAAGAAAGCATCACAAAAATCATAGAAGAGATGGCCCATCAAGAACTGATTCAGTGCCCAAGATACATTTCAAATGCATGGTCACCTTTTCTTTCGAAGCTGAAAATGTACAAAGAATTTGAAAGTGTGGATAGCCTAGTACAACTCTATCTGGAGAAAAAGCCGTCGCCTAAGAAAGTTTCCAAGATATTGTCTGCAGCACCTACTAGTGAAAGACAAAATGAATGTTTTGATCATTTGAAGAGATTTGTGAAGTCCCTAGACGACAACACTTTAGGTACGTAGTCACCTAAAATATTATGTTAGTGCAAATGATAGGGTTAGAATAAAGATTAGCAAAGATACTGACTTTCTTTGGAAGATTTTTCAAATTTTGTTAAATTGGCCAAAATATTAGAGACAGCCGAAGCTTTGCAAAGACCTTTAAGCCATGAAAGCTTTTATTATAGAATTTTTTTTTTCAACTTGGGCAGTTTCTTTGAATACAAAAACAACAAATATGCAATAGTTTCTCCAACCAGATCAAAACATTGATGGAAATAAAGTAAAAAATACCAGGAAATTTTAAACCATGCAATCTAACAAAATTCAAAAAACCATCTACAGTAACAAAAATTGCTTGTTTTTTTCTCATTCTGACATTCAAGTACTGTACTAGCTCTAAAAAAAAAACACACACACACACAGTCAACATGTCTTAAACATTGTATAAAAATTTTAGTTATGGTGAGTGCCATCAAATTAATGGTTACTTATTGTTATAATTACTATAAATTATCTTTATCATTTATTAATATTATTATTATTTATTAATATTATCTTTTCTTCATTATTTTATATTATTTTTTATATATAAATCATAACTATAATTATTAATATGTTATTAAAGGAAAAAAATAAATATTTATTCACTTTATTTACTTATTCACCTATTAGATTTTTGGGTTTTTCTTTTTGCATGTGTGTGGTGTTGAGTGTGTTTCCTTATTAATATTACACATTGTTGTTTGCATTAGTAACTGTTTTTTCAAGGCCTAAATGTTTTCTTCTTGAGTTTTTTTTTTTCTATTTAATTTATTTTAGTTCTATTATTGATAAACACTCTCCTTATCTTTTAGGTGTTTTTCTGCAGTTTGTTACTGGGAGTAACTACCTCACTATTGACAGTATCAATGTGGATTTTTGTAAGCTAGAAGGGGCTGCAAGAAGACCATTAGCACACACGTGTGGATGTGTTTTAATTATTCCAGAGACATACCAGGGATATAATGAATTATCTGAAGAGTTTAGCAGTGTTTTAAGGCACAGTGCTTCTTGGGAGTTTGGAATTGTTTGAGCTGTTGTAATGCCTGGTTCCTTTCAATGTTAATTTTAATATAGTATTACACCTCAGCTACTACAGGTTTTAGTGAAATTGGGTTGTTGGGCTCCCTGTGCTTGGGCAGGATTTGGGTGAAAATACTTGCAACAAAGATTAAGACAATGCTTGTTACATTGGTCAATTCTTTGGCAACCTGTCTTTCAACTGGCATTGCATGACAATTTTTAGGGAAATAGCAACATCTTTTAAATTGATGTCTAGATGCTGCAATCAGTTTCAAATGTTACGTGAAACTCTAGTGATCACACTTCATGGATAATAATGTGAATTTAAAAAAAAAAATCATTAATTAGCGTCAAGCATAGGTACAACCTGCCGTAGTGTTTTTAATTAGTTCTTAGTTTTGTACTTACAGCAGCACTTTCATGTTGGATGTTTTTGATGAAAAACTTTTAGAATTTTAACATAACATTGTTACAGTTTACCACTAGAGTTTTAAATCAGCTCTTAATTTTGTACTTAGAGAAAAAAATATATAATGTTTGCTGTTGGATGTTTAAAAATGTTTTTGAAAAACTTATTTTAGAATTTTAACACAGTTGTTACAGTTTTACATGCATATAATGTTATAGGACTACCATGCAAGGCCTAAATGCTTTCTACAGTATGTGCCAATTATCTTAAGGATAATAATAATGTGAATTAAAAATCATTAATACTGCCACAAACACTGGAAAAACATGCCCCACTAGTGTTTTAAATCAGTTCTTAGTTTTGTACTTGGGGAAAAAATGTTATAATGTTTGCTGTTGGATGTTTAAAAATATTTTTGAAGAAAGACTTGATTTAGAACTTTAACACAGCAATGTTGCAGTTTTACATGCATATAATGTTATAGGACTACCATATAGGCCTAAATGCTTTCCATGTGCCAATTCTCTCAAGGATAATAATAATGTGAATTAAAAATCATTAATTACTGTCACAAACATTCGAAAAACATGTCCCACTAGAGTTCTAAATCAGCTCTTAATTTTGTACTTAGAGAAAAAAATATATAATGTTTGCTGTTGGATGTTTAAAAATGTTTTTGAAAAACTTAATTTAGTATTTTAACACAGCGTTGTTACAGTTTTACATGCATATAATGTTATAGGACTACCATATACAGTATTGTGCAAGGCCTATATTCTTTCTATGTGCCAATTCTTAATTCAATTTCTTGTCAAAGATTTCATTCATCTAAGATTGCCTATAGGACAATCTAAATTCAACCATACTATTATACAGTATTTGATTGATATGTAATGTGGATTAGGCCTAACAGTTAAAAAGGATTTGATTGTTACAGTTTCTACTAGTTCTGCAGATATTTTGAATAAACAGTGCTTTGTCTTAAAATGCGTGAAGTGTAGTCAATAAGCACACTATTGCGAGTTAAATGGATGAGAAAAAGCTGGCTTTTATTTGAAAAGACTCCACAAAATCAATAATACCGGTACATGTAAAATTATCATAGTGCTTTTGCAAAGAGGTAAATGTTCAATTTAGGTCAGTAACTCTTTGAAAACTCTACGGTGGATGGGTAATTTAAACCCTCAATATCCATAATGAACTCAAAATATTCTTGATATTCACTTTCCTCTTCAACAAGTTCACAATGCTGCTCCATTTCAATTGTTTGTTGAATTGATACAGGATTTAAACACTCCTCCATGCTGTAGTACTCTGGCAGGTAATACATAACATCTGGAACACCTTCAACTGTGCTGTGCCTTGACTTTGTTATTCTGTGACTATTCCAATGATCTCTTACTTTGTTCAAATCATCTTGTAAAATCTTTGGAAAACAGAACCATAAACACTCCATGTGAAGAATATTTCCTAGATGCAAGGTTCCATGTTCTACCATATCCTTGAATAAATCCATCCACCAACTAGATCGATTGTGCCTTAAAAATGACCACCATCCTTCTATACGTTGATTAGATGGTGATGAGCAGTACCTATGAGAACTCTCTCCAGCTTGATCATCTAGACTACCAGAACGAAAAGTGCATTGCATAGCTGCTGCAACACCATTTTCTGTCCCACAGTCTGAAACAAGTAACAGAGGGCAACCCCCCACTTCTTTGACATATTCTAGCAACAGTTTACCTGGTACTCTTGGATTATTGTTCGACTTGACAACATCAAGCCATAGTATCCGCCTACTAAACCCACCGATGGCCCCATGAATAGGAAAACCATATGGCTTGAGCTTGTCATACCCTTTTAATAAAGAAAACAAAAATTGAAAGTTAATATTTGTATCATCCTATGTACAGGTTTAAGGTAAGATGATACATAGCTTTTAAATTTGCCACACTACTTACCATCCATGTGCCAGGAGGCATTGGGACCGGGAGAAAAAAAAGTATGTCTTCTTAGTCGTCGTTTTTTCCTCAACTCAACACCAGCAGGGTCTATCCGTTTCATAATTTGTGCAACTAGACTGCATGGTACATGAATACCATGACGTAATCGCAGTGCATGCCAAATGGTTCTGTAACCAGCTAACATTCCAGGTCATTTCATTTCTTCCTGAACTACAGCTTTGAGTCGCTCTTCGTCTGTTCCTTGAACATTACCTTCACGTCTTAAACCAAGGTTTTGAAGTCTTCTTTTAAGGGTTCTAACACACATTGTAATGCCCATTTGCTTATCTAAGATGCTGACAATAACTTGATAAGGATATCCTCGATGAAAATAATTTGTTATTGCCTTGTTGACATCCATATCAAAAGCACATTTTTCACAAACACTTGTTGTAGACAGCTCTATACCACAAAATCTACAATAATGCATCACTTTTACTTCTTGATCTCAGTTTTAATTTAGGACTAGTTTGCTCTCTCCTACTATAAATTCGCCATTTTTGAAAACCAATTCCCTCTCTTGTCATGAATATGAAATGCGCCCTCAGGCTTTCATTACTTGTTTGTAGTGTTTCCTTTTTTGTTTGCAGCATTTCTGTTTTGTTTGCAGCGCGTTTTCTTTTTTGTTTGCAGCGTTTCTGTTTTTGTTTGCAGAGCGTTTCTTTCTTGTTTGCAGCGCGTTTACTTTTTTGTTTGCAACGCGTTTTCTTTTTTGTTTGCAGCGCATTTTCTGTTTTGTTTGCAGCGCGTTTTCTTTTTTGTTTGCAGCGTTTCTGTTTTTGTTTGCAGAGCGTTTCTTTCTTGTTTGCAGCGCGTTTACTTTTTCGTTTGCAACGCGTTTTCTTTTTTGTTTGCAGCGCATTTTCTGTTTTGTTTGCAGCGCGTTTTCTTTTTTGTTTGCAGCGTTTCTGTTTTTGTTTGCAGCGCGTTTCTTTCTTGTTTGCAGCGCGTTCACTTTTTTGTTTGCAACGCGTTTTCTTTTTTTTTGCAGCGCGTTTTCTTTGTTTGCAGCATTTCTTTTTTGTTTGCAGCATTTCTTATTTGTTTGCAGCATTTCTTTTTTGTTTGCAGCATTTCTTTTTTGTTTGCAGCATTTCTTTTTTGTTTGCAGCGTTTCTTTTTGTTTGCAGTGTGTCCCTTGTGGGCCATCGTACTTTATTACCAACTTGACATTTAATGACGGGAACCACCAACATTATTGTAATGACACGAGTTGACCATTCGGGTTATACAACTCAGATTCCCAATGAGACAAATAGAATAGTAAGTATGTGGAGTAAAGAAGTTGTACAAACACATTATCTGATCAAGAAAATACATGTCATATTTGTAAATGTCATATAGTAAAAATGGTTCCTTATTGGAAGACAATTGCGTTGACAGATCTTGTCAAATAGTTTGCATCTTCTGGTCTGTGTCTCACCGATATCACTTATATCTATATAATAATAGCCTATACTGTTTATACTCCAACATTAAAAATATATTACGAAATTATTACAGTACAATTTGGCTATACCATGTTGTTTTTATATTCTCCATGATTTTATGAACTTATGATTTAACCCGATATTATCAGGTCTCAACATTTTAATTGTATTGGTCAACGTGTTGCACTTTAAGGAAGTCTCACTTTGACTGTTGCTCAAGAGCTTGTCTTCAGTGCAAAATGACAAAGAAAAATCAACATCCGAACTTCTTCACACAAACAGACAAGCTCTAGGTAGTGGTCATGAATGTTGTCTACCATTTCTCCTGAGTATCTTGGTACCACGTGACTACACAACGCTAGTCTACCCTGTTGTCTTGGGACGCCATGTCGTTATGATATCCAAGGCGATGTCTTAAAAGCTGAAAACAATAGAAATACGTTTAACTCACATTGACAGAAACCACGTGATCGGCATGCTTTATCAAACGCTTTTGATGCAAAAGGCAGCTTGAGTACAGATTGAGAAATCCACATAAAAGTTGGAAAATAACACGGATGCAACCAATGCCACGAAAGAAATTACAAGATGTTACTGTTGGTAACAAGAACATGCGGATGCATAGAAATCCGGTGTAAGAATTCAATCCCGCTACACAATGGCAGACCCGGCTTGCAACCAAATCTTCATGCACCCTATTTTTGTTAGGTTTATAGTTTTTCTCACAGCGTTTAATGGAAAACAGATGTCATTTCCATAAGGGGTGGAAAACAGCCCCGAATAACTAATTTCATATTTCGTCAATACCTTGCCTTTGGTTTTTCCCTGATATTTAAATTTTTATTTTATCAAACGTTGCACTGAATTGTTATGTGATTGTCTTTTCCCATTTCCATTATTTAAATTTTAGGAATAACCATTCATCATGCCCATAACATTGCTATGTTCCTTTGCCCGCAGGCAAAGTGCAGCGATGCTGTTAGATCTTCTATTAGTATCTTGACAATGCATTTCAGAATACTGACCATTGAAAGTACTGGTCATGTTCATGAAGGTTGCTGGAGTTGGACTGGAAACGGATGACATTACGTTCATAGCTTGGGCATGATTGTGGATTGGTACTCCCATAAAGTTAGGAAGTGTGCTCTGTGGTGCCATACAGGAACTAGGATGAGGGGCTTGCATATGATGTGATTGGTTCATGCCACCCAATCCTGCCATATTGCCGACCCACGGTGAGTTCTGCATCTGAAGTAAACAGAAAAAAATACACATTACAAACGTTCCGTCATTTTATATTAATTATTAATATATAGAATATCTTCCTATATATATATATATATTGTATATATAATTATATAAAGTCGTGTCTTATCAGAAGCGGATAACTTATTTGAAAATGTAAAGTTTGTTTCCTATGTGTAATATCTTTAAGTGTTAAACATGCTACATACCTACAAACTATTGAATTATTAAGAAAATTAATAGTATGTGATATCTATAGTTCTTGAGAATTCTTACAATAAAAAATAATTAAAAAAAAGAAAGAAGAATAAAAGAATGAAACACAAATGGTAAGAACAGACATAAAACCAATTGGTATTCATAACATTCGTTTGACTTTACTTAAAAAAGTGGAATAATTTAATAAGATTTCTATGACAAAAAACATATGATATTGAAGGGCTAATCTATCAACGCAACTGACTTTTTCAGTTAGCGTCTTCCGCTCTTAATATTCCAGCAGGGACATTATCAAATCACTAACTCTCACTTACGATTGAAGCAGGTCAAAAATTAAACAATAGATATAGTGGATCTATGTACAGGGTCGTTGGGGAAGGGGCTAGGATGCCTTAGGGTCAATCCAACAAAGTACCTTAGACCTTTTAACTTTTTTGGGTCTTATTTGTAATGGTTAACAAGTTCACGATGACTCTCACAAACGAGTCTCCTAAATGTAATAAATAGTTTATTTCAAACAACTACGGTAAGCCTATTAATAACGGCAGGCAATTAATTTAATCACCACTACCACCAATTTTATCAACATCTATCTTCTCATCATCATTATCTTCTGATCATCTTCATTATCATTCTCTTAGTTATCATCATACTTATTATCATCATCATCATCATCATCACTATCACCATCATCACTATCAACATCAACACCAGTACCATCGTTGGTGTTGTCACCACCACCACAACCATAGTTGTAGTCACCATCAGTATCAAGATACTGTAGCCATTTAGGCCTATATAGTTATAATCAATACATTTCGATGTATAGCGTACTTGTAGCCCAACCTGTGCATATGCATCAGGTCTGGGTGCAATGGGCATCTCATATCCCGTACCCGGTGCCATAGCTCTCATGTTTTGCAGTTGTCCAAATCTTTCCTTCTTCCTCCATTTTGTTTGTCGATTTTGGAACCAAACCTGTTGGAATATAAAATAGCCAGGTGAAATTTAGCAGACATGATTAGTATGAATCTGAATAGGCATACTGTATAATTAGTATATTTTTATATGATTAGGCCTATCATTTATTTGTTATTTTATATATTTTGGTAATTCACATAAGCAATAGGCCTATACAACAAATACATTAAAATCGGATAAAGACACATCAAATAATCGACAATGAATATCCTAAGCAAAATGCATTAAAATAAACAAAATACAATGTATATTAATGAGGGAAATGCATAAAAACATTTAATATTAGGTCAAATGTAAATTGAATTGATAATTAGGTCTACGCTCTTTTATAGTCTTAATTTCCCCATGAAAGTCTACCGAAAATACACCCATTCTCCTAGTGTGGGAGAGGCCCTTTATATTAGTGATACGGTGAAACAGACCTGTCAATACTTTCATATTTGTAATACTAAAAGTATTCGTGCAATATAGGCCATGTGTTCATCTCAACGAAATTCAGTTTAAGATAAAAAATACCTATTGTATCTTTCCTCTTAAAACACGGTTTACATGTCAAAATTATATATTCATAATTGGGTACCTAACTACATCAAACTATCAAACTATAATTCAAAAATGGATTTTAATGATGACACCTAACAGATTCACGTGCCAAATCCAAATGCTTCTGTGATCACTCGATCTAGTGACTAAGCCCAAATGACTGTATTGTTTTTTAAATTTGCAGAGTCAGTTAAAGTTTGTCGGCTTTGCGCACTTGTTTGACACGCATTGGTCTCCACTTGTTCCTACATAGCCTTGAACTAGTGTGTAGTTGATGCAATCTAGTGACATACAGAAAAGAAAACAAAGTTTCCCTGGGGGACTGGAGGTCTGTGGGTTAATTAGTATTGTATCGTTGGATCATTATCTGTACGGCCAGAATGATTTACATGAAGCATCTAGAGATTTGGTTTAGGTACAATTAGGTAACTTTCTTTTGGCTAATATTTCTTGTCTTTTTATCAGTAATTATGCAAAACCTTTTGAGAAGTATGGTAAAATAAAATAAATTTAAGACAGAATATCAATTAAATATTCGTAAATCATAATTTAGGCTTAATTCCTAATGAGAACACGATTGTCAGTTATCTAACTTTAAAATTAAACTCTTCCGGCAAATATCGAAATTTTCAGTTGGTCCCTGGATCAAACTTGCCTCTATGATTAAGTATTTCGATATCATTTTAATTGGATGAATATCTTCCGATTTTTAATTGGAAAAAATTATAATGATTTGTGAGAGTGTCATTTTAAGTGGTAAATGTGTGAAAACTAAATTGAATACAATAAACTCAATTATTTAGAGATTATTTAACTGTTACCAGACCTTATAAGTTGTAGAATAATTTATTAAAAGCGCTTATTAAGACAATCTTAAAAGTATGTTTGTTTTCTTTTTTTTTTTCAATGTGAAATTGTTAGTATTCGGAAAAAAGAAGTGGCTTGCCTAAGGGGGGCGGTATAATGCGGCTCCATTGCCTGTACAAATGTTAATATGCATACGTATGTGTGGCCGATACCTGTACGGTAGCTTACCTTACCTTATGGTAGTTTCTTAGGTCATTGTACTTGTTGAAACTATCAAAATTACTCTTTGAAAACTTTATTGGCATTTATAACCATTTATCCATATCCTCCATATCGTAAGCTTTAAAACAATGGATTTTTCGCATACTTCTGAAGGCCTATTTTACTTTTTTTAAGGGCGGTTTCCAACGCCATCAAAATCTGCCTCGTAACTCTTTCTATGCCAGAACATGGAGAAAAAAAAATAATAGTAATAGTAATAATAATAATAATAATAATAATAATAATAATGTCTAGTTTCAAGCTATGTGGACTTCTATCAACATAACAACATTCTTGTTAAGTCTAATAACCTTTATATGAGCCAGCTACTGTAGTTGCTTTTAGATATAGCACAGAATTTCATCAAAAAGTAGAGTGTGTTGAAAACAATATCATAAGAGATAGGCCTATCATAAGTGCACAGCAATATGTATCCTGTTAAGTGATTGGAAGCGACTGTTAAAAGTACATTCCCGGAAAGAAAGAAGCAGCTAGAATACTGCAACTACTAAGCGGATATCCCGGGCGTAAATTCACTGTTGACATGTAAAAGGTATTGAACCCACCCTATAGGCCTAGAAAATCAAGCCTCTGCAATACCCATTGATATGTAGTTTTTAAACATTGTTAGCCTAATGTCTTTGTACATAAGTGCAACAGCTTCTGCTGCTGTAAGTGGTTTTTAGTCCAATCATATCCACAGTCTATCTTCCTAAACTAAACGTTCCCAATAGTGAACTGTACTTCACATTATTTTACAGTTATGCTGTGTAGACCTACACATTATTATTTCAAAACAGCATGTAGCTAGGTCCCCAGAATATCAAAACGATGGGAATGAATATTGAATGGATATGAACACGAAACATCCAACATAAGACTACCGTACCCCTTAGATCACAGTCAACCTATTAATATAATTAATAATTACCTAGAAGCCCTACTCCAGATACCAAGTCACATTATTTGCAATTTAGATTTATTCATCAAATTAATTCCACAAATGACTTTTGTTTAAATAAAATTGGCCTTGTTGAAAATAACAAATGCTCACATACAGAAACAAACGAAAAAAATATTGCTAAAAATAACAATAAGAATCACTTTCATGTCAACAAATGCGAACCTCTATTAAGAGCAGAACCATAATTTATGACAACCCATATCTGACAGAATGTTTTTATTTATTTATTTTATTTTTATTACATTTTATCCATTTTCTATGTAATGAATGTGTTTTCAGCAAATTTTTTAGGAAAACAAAAATGTGCATAATTTAGGGAAAAAAATGTGCAAAATTATGGGAATGTGCAGGATATAGGAATGAGTTTAAAGGATAATGTGATTTTCAGGATAATAGGAGTAAAATTCGAATATACATTATATGAGAATGTACAAGATAATAGAATTGTGCTTTTTATTTCAAATCACATGCCTAAGAAAAAAAAAAGAGTTATCATTTTTCAAAGAAAAAATAATTGGTGGAACTTTATATATGTTATGATCAGAAAAATATAAAAAAAAAACATTCACAAAAACAAAAATACATTCTGCAAAAAGGGAAAAAAAATATGTTCTTCATACAAATCACATCCACAATACTGTAACAATAAAAGCAGGATGGTTGTTGATATTGACTTGAGGAATAAAAATCCGAACACAGATCCCCAGACCTCAAGATGGCCACTGGATAGGATCTACTGAACTGCTGCCACATCATCGCTCCAGCAGGCACGTGCGCAGGATTTTTATTGGGTGGGTGCGAATTTGAGAGTGAAAAAAATGGCTCCACGGAAGAAAAGTTAGTTACAACCTAGGCTTCAATTGGCAGATGTTTTAGGCCTAGCCTACTAGAGCCTAGTCTGGCTAGGCCTAGTTACTAGGTCTACTAGGCTAGTAGACCTCCTAACCTAGGCCTAGGCTAGGCCTACTACTGCACCAGTGGCCGCCTACAAAACGTCTAGCCCCAGCTTTAAAAGACCAAGGCCTATCAAAAACAAATATTGAACAAACAAATCTTTTATGTAAAATTGAGTTTCTGTTATGGCCTTTTTCTGTCAAAGATTTGGCTTGCTACCAATTTAGTTTTTGAAATCTCTAGGCCAGCCCCTAGCAAAGCCTGCCTACTAGCTAGGCCTAGGCTAGTCTGGCAAAAAAAAAAAAACTTCCCCCTCCTGCCCCTGAACATTTCTGAGGGTGTGACACTAAACAAGTATATTTTTTTTTTATTTTCAAAATAATATGATATAAAATTAATATAAAATAAATTTTATTGTTTATAAATATATTATTTTGAAAAATTCCAATAAGCAGTATATTTAATATGAAAATAAATCACAGATACAAAATAAAAATTAAATGAATGATAAACTTAACTTATTTAAAAAAAATAAATTAAGTATATAATATTAAATTTTCCCCATTTTATTTATTTTTTTTTTATTTTGAAAATTTTAAAGGGGACGGGATGAGCGGGCCTCCTTGAATCTGCCACCGTCAGTGGTGGATCTAGCGATTCGAAATAGGGGGGGGGGGCAAGGGAAGGAATTTCACAGATTGAGGGTCTATAACACCCCAGCCTTGCAACTCTAGATCTGTGGATGGATGTTGGTAGAGGATCCAGAGGTTCATTGACAATTGCACAATAATCTGATATATTTGTCTAGACAACCAATAATCTTTCTGTTTGTTTCTCTCTTACACTTAAATTTTAATATAAATTTCTTTTCTTTTTTAAAACAAATTTGGGAGGTGGAGGGGGAAGGGGTACCACCACTGGGAATAGTGCAGCACAGTCTAGAAGCACAGATACATTAGGGAATTTCCCTAACGTATCTGACATCATCACATTCCTTCTTCGCTGCTGCTGTGGATGGATGTTGGTAGAGGATCCAGAGGTTCATTGACAATTGCACAATAATCTGATATATTTGTCTAGACAACCAATAATCTTTCTGTTTGTTTTTGACATTTCTTTGAGTACTAATGTATATTTCTTCTCAAATTCCTCAAAAAGCTTATATAAATACAGTTAAAAGTCGTTGCTTCTACATCGAATTAGAGGCGGTCCTATTTGGAAACTGCTCTAATTGGGCAAAGAGGTTTGGTGGACGGATTTCTGGAATGTGTGAGAGGGAGTTTTAAATTTTCTAAACTGTAAAATGTGGACCTTTGATAATTTAAGGGGGTGCGTACGCACACGTTGCACCCTTCCTGCGTACGGGTCTGCTCCAACTGAAGTGGTCATGAGACCATTCCTGATGAAAACACAATTACTGTTGAAATATTGAATCCCAACACAATGGTGTGTATTTCAATACTTGACATACTGTATGTATTTTGCTTTCTTGCCATGAGACCAAGTAAAGCCACAATTTCATTATTGAAGCTGTCCACCAAAGCTACAACAAGGAAATAATTGGGACTTTGAAGGTATTTTTTATCATTAATAATAATAATAATAATAATACAGCACTGGAATCTGTGAACTACAGTAAACATTCCATAAGCCATTTGGTGTGAAAACCCTGACATGTGCAACCCTGGCATGACTTGGGCCAGGCTTGATTCATGCCTGGTGGGAGTCAAAGTCTTTCTTAGTGTTATGTTAAAAAATGCAAAAGGTTAGCTGGTAGTAAAAGCTACAGGCATTAAAAGCAGCAACATATATGCACAAACACATGCAATTCTCCAAAGTAATAGAGTAACTAAAAATAAAATAAAGAAATCAAAAAATAGATATTATTAGAACACGTTGATTCCTACCCTGTTCCGCACTAACTACTGACACTTGTTCAACAGTATTAGTGCCAGGCCTGGAATCAGTGGGTTTAGGCTCATCGGTTTGATCAGCGTCTGGCAATGTTGTCGTTCCCTGGGGTGAAGTATCTATAGGTTTTACAGCCTGGGACGTCTCCATAGGCTGTTCTTCAGTGACCGCCGGTTTTGTCTCTTCAACAGGCGGTGTTATTTTAATTGACGGACATTCAATTGGAGCTGTTAATACAAAGTGTAAGTAATAGTAGGAATTAGTTGGAAACATCAATCGTAGATTAGAAAGCATTCTAACTAAAAAAGAATAGATTAGGAACACAACACATACACAAGCACTTCACACATCACACTTCATCACATTTTTAATTTACCAAGAGTTTTATAAGGTGCATGCAACATTACTGAACTGGTTTCAATCCATAAATTGATATTCCATCTGCAGGCATGATTTAAAAAAAAAAAAAAACCACAAAAGGTTATGATTATAAAATTATGAAATGAGACATTATAGAAGAGGTAATGCATTACTATACAAATTTTTAACAATCACATTGGTTAGTGTCACACTAGTTAGAGCCTTAGTATTCAGATCGGGCATTAACCGTTAGCACACGTGTGAGAACTACCGATCGGTTAGCGCTAACCATTACGAGGAACTGGATATGCTAACTGTTAGCGAGCGCCATTAGTTATCAAGTTGAGCGCGTTTCTATCATTAACCAATCACAAGTACGCATTTCCAATTTCCAGTTTCCTATTGGCCAGTGATCCCACCGTCATCTTTTTGATATCTGGCAGGGGGGGATTTAGTGGAGGGGGGGGGGGGGGGGGCCCCCCCCTTTGGGAAAAAAAAAAACTTTTAGAAAGTAAAAAAAACATGAAAGAAAGAAAAAAAATTGATCGCCCCAAATGCCTCAGAAGTTACTTTTGGGCGTCTCGAAAACAAAAGTTTCGCGGGGGCATGCCCTCGAACCCTCTAAGGTGCTGTTATCTAGATCGGCCCAATTTTCGGACATCTCTGGATACGCCCCTGTCTGGATCGGGGTTTTTCTTGTATGAACGCAACCGTGAGCGCATATGTTATTTATCTGGAGCTTGCTAACCGGTGTTGTGTAGCCATTATTATACATTTCTAAGCACTAGTTAGACTTACATCATTACTGCTTATTAGTATAAAAATGCATTATTCAGAGTTAAAGAAAAAAGTGGTTCCATTTAATCAAAGGAGACACTTGACTACACAAAGTTTATTGATTTACCCAAAGCTGGGGCCAAGATTGGACAATATCGTGGAAGCAAGTCAAGGGCAGGGATTCTGGTTGAGAACAACTGGAACTATGGTTGCTAAGCAGAAAGTTAGCCAATCAGTTGGTACCTAAATAGTCTAGGAGTGGATACAAGGAAGGGACAAAGTTCACTTTCCAGGAATAGATATTGAGGTGATTTCAAATAAATATGCAAAAACTAAGATGGTAACAATTTAAGGAGTGATTAGTGTTTTGACAAAGTTCTAGTAGGGTGGACCCTGGCATAGATTGGTGTTGGTAATAAAAGTGAACTCAAAAGGGGTTGGGGAGGGGTGGGGAAAAAGCCAGCCCTCATCCAAAAAGACGGTGTGCTAGTGAACCTTGCCCTCC